GAAAGATGCCCAAAATTAACACAGCCTGGTGTATTCCCAGGACAGTATTGAGTCCAATTTGCTGCATTATACAAATCAGACTAGATGAACAATGGCACTGGAGAATGGAAATCAAGATCTGATTATAAAAGATACATGGGATGGCTCCATTGCCCACCACCCAAGAATGAGCAAGAGGCTTAAAGTAAACAGATCCACACTGGAAATCCAATTCCACCTCTTGGTTACTGGATCTCTCTGACTTCCATAGTTTCATCTGTAAAACAAAGCACTTTTTTAAAAAGTCTACTTTATAGAGTTGCTTCAGGAACATGTGCTCAGAATAAGGCTGAGTACATCGTATATCCAATAAATCATAATGGTAGATTCTTTTTTCTATGATGATTCTTACTCCATATTTTAAGCCATAACTGTAATGCTTTATTTTGGTTTGGGATTTTGTTTGCTTGCTTCCTTTTGAGACAGAGTCTCCCTATGTGACCTTAAACTCACGATTCTCACACTGTCACAGTCTCCCGAGTGTTAAGACTACAAGTATGTATTGACACACAGCTTCTGGTTCATTCTCTCAACTATCAAAACTTATTATGCCAACTTGTTCCCAAGCTACTTTTTCAAAGTGGATTCCATAATCCCTTAACACGACAGACACTCAGTGTGAATGCCATGTACTGGCAGCCGCGACCTTCTCACCAGGACAGTGTGGCAATGTCTAAAGTTTTGAGCCTCCATGGCTGGGGAGGCTCAGAGAGGAGGATTCCTGTTGCTCACTGGCCACCCAGCCTAGCCTACTTAGTGAGCTCTAGATTCAGGGAGAGACCCTGTCTCAAAAAACAACAACAACAAAACAAACAAACAAGGTAGATGGTGTTTCAAGAATGACACCTGAGGTTGACTTCTGGCATCTACATGCATGTGACACACATGTGCTCTGCATTTGTGTGCATGCACACAAACGTTTTGATGTATTAATACATCCTCTGTCCCCTAAATTCCCCGATGGTAGTAACGCTGTTAGTTCCTGTCACAAAAAGAATAGCCTTAAAGGTGTTCTGAGATTGGAACCAGGCTTCCACTGACCTCCGAGCCAACCTGTCTCCTGAGTCTCCACTGGTGGCCTGAGAACCTTCCACACAGCAATCACATACTTCCATCTCTGCTAAAAACAGCCTTCCACCCACCACCCCCCATTTTACCCTCTGTCAAGGCTTATAACAAACCCATCTCCTCTCTGAAACCTGATTTCCCTCCTCCCACTTGATGTACAAGTAGTAAGTTTTGTGAGCGTCCCCAGTGTCTGGTTTGTGTTTCTGTTGCCATGCCCCAGAGCCATGCAGAGATGTGGCCAGTGTTATGAGTACACTCTCACTTCACGGCAGCCTTGTGGGATTTCACACATCTTATTTCACAAGCCAGAGAAGGAAGCTCTCAGAGTTACTTGCCTCGCCAATCAGTCGCAAGTCAGAAGGGTCTCAGCCACATTTGGACCATGCCCAGTGTCTCTCAGGCAAGATACCTTTCTAAGGTGCCTCAACATCTAGCTGGTCGTCTCCATATCCTCTCATTGGAGTCTAGAAAGACTGTCTGTTTTAGGAACCCAGAGGCATTCATCCTTTATCCATTTATGCAAGTTCCTCAAGGAAATTGAAATTGACAAAACAGGGAAGGGTGCTGAAAAGATGGCTCAGTAGTTAAGAGCACTTGCTGCTCTTACAGAGGACCCTAGTTCAGTTACCAGCGCCCATCTCCCAATCAATCATCTACAGCTCCAGTTCCAGAAGACCCCAATGCCTTCCTCTGTCCTCTGTCGACCTGCAAGCGGTATGCGTGCATGCAGACCAGTGACACTCACAAATCAAGAAGGCAATCCTTTTGAAAGACAACACATAATAAGGCCCTCACAGAGCTGGCACTACTTGGTTAAGTTTAGCTACAATGTCACCGTGGTGGCCGTACACAGAAGTCCTGGATGGGGGCTCATTTCTGAAGAGCAAATGGATTGGGTAAGGAGCTCTCGGAGACATAAACACTCTTCTAGCTGTGAGCAGTCTATCCGAAGGAGCAGGAGCTCTATGTCACCCTGACCACGCCCTCGCAAGCGTGGTTAGGCACACCTGTAGCCAGCCCCTAAGTAGGCGTGGCTACAGCTTCCCCTACAAGTATGGGCTTCCAGAATGAGGCTGGCTAATCCACCACCATGCCTGGGAGAGCCTGGGATATCCCCTGCTTAGTTCACAACCTCCTGGGATGGATGCTAGGCTGCTGTCTCCTAGGCTGTTTGGCAACACTCACTCAGAGAAGTGGATCCACAGGTGCTGGGACAGGAAAAGTGAGTCAGAAAAGCCGGTGGGGGTCCAGCATGTGAACGAGCATCTGAGATGCAGGGCTGGAAACACGAGGAGGTCCTCTTTCCATGAGGCATGTTTACTTATTTGCTTTGTTGTATGTCCTAGTGAGACGTCAGCTCTTCTACCCTATGCATTGGGGTCCTACGGGCCTGAACCATATAAGGTAAACACCAGTTCTGTGCTGTGTATTGGCTAAGTGATGGCAAAGGCACGCCTACAATGTACATCTCTCTATATGTACACATACATATGATCCTACCCCAGGTTCATCAGCAAGCTTGTGTCTATCTCCTCTCACAAATACGCACTGTCTATATGTATGCACATCTGTGTATCTATGAAGATGTTTAGGACTAGAATAACAAAGTTATGTGATTGCCAAAGTGAGGGCTCTTTAATGCCAAAAGGCCTCTGGCTCACCTGTCTGTCACAAACACACCCTCCTACCTATCAACTAATAATGCAGATGCTTAAAAAATTAGGTATTTTATAAGTGTTCAGTGCAAAAAAAAGTTTTCTCTTAACAAAAAATAAAATTTCTCAAGTCTTTCTAAACCCTTTGCCTCTGTTTATTAATTTAATCAATTAGAGTAAGGAGGGAAGCATGGACAAATATGTCTATAAATGTGACAGGTGACATATTCAGAATTCCTCCAGGCAGGCCAGATGTCTTCCCTAAAGTGGTAACATATGCAGGAAGTTAGAGTGTATGATAACCACAGACTGACCATTCCCTGGATATACAATGTACCAGACACTGGGTATCCTCTTTTCAAATTAAACCATAGCACATGTGGAGAGGAGATATTATTGTCTGCATTTGATAAATAAGAAAGCCAAGATCCCAAAAGTTAAGTAATTTGCTGAAGAGACTGTACTCTGGGGCAGGCTGTGACACAGGCAGAGGGCAAACTCTGGACTCTAGAAGTTTAAGTTGTTTTCAATGAAGTAAAAGTGTGCTTTTTGCACAGTTTTAAAGGCACTGACTTTGAGGGGTGTGTGCTTAGGCACGTTTGATGGTATGTGGACTTCATTCTCTGCACACAGACACCAAGTTAAAGAATGAAAAATTACCCCAGGTTAAAGACCGTAACGAGTGAGTCTGTCTCAGAAACCATGTACCTATGTTTATCACACCATGAAACCCTTTGCACTTGGCGAGTCCCCTCGGATCTAATAAGGTGTGTGTGTGTGTGTGTGTGTGTGTGTGTGTGTGTGTGTTCTAACAAGGCATTATGTACATCAGGCTCTTTCATTGCAAGTTGATGGGAAGTTCTTAAATCCTTTCTATGCATTTTTTGACCAGAAAAGTGTCTTGGGTCTGTAAGGAGCCACTGGGCAATATACGTCTCACCTGCCTCAGAGCCCAAAGGTCAATACTATAACGGTGAAAGTGAGTTCATCTTTGTGTACTTTCATAGAATTATTTTTAAAAAACTAGTGTTGACAGAGTGAAGAAACAGGGTGGGGAGGTTGGAAAAAGATAGATTGTTCCCTCTAAATTTGAAAGAGAATGTCAGTGGCCTTCAGCTTCTGGAAGAACCCTTTAACCTCTGGCCTTTCCAGAAGTGGGCCTTCGGAGGGAAATTATTTGTTTTTGAAGATTTTACTTTAGCTCATATCAGTGGGAAAGGCACTTGCCTGTCTGTCAACTCCTCCCTCAGACGACTATCTGAAGAGGCCAGCAAGGCAACATCTTGGCGCCAGGGGCTGAGGTCTTTCAGTCGGTTGGGTTGGTTGGTTGGTTGGTTTCTCTACCAGCTCCGCAACAAGCCGGTAATAAGCAAAGAGATTTTTACCCAACCCCTGCTGTAACCCTGGCTTCTGCTCCTTAAATTAACGCCTCCCCCAAGAGAGAAAGCTACCGTCTCTGCACTTCAAACCTGGCCTTGGGTTTTGTTTGTTTTCTGATTTCAAGCCCTTCCCTCACATGCATCTCTCAGAAACATTCGCGAGCCTAAACTAAGAGAAAAGATGCCAGGTGCTTCGGAGCATTAAAGTGGCTAAAGTGGTAAAGAGACTAGCGGTCCGCACTTCATCTTAGATAATGAATGACCTTGGGCGAGTAACTTGTTCTACCAAAGAATTGGTCAGAAGAGAAAATGTGTCATCAAAAAGTTGTTGAAATTTCAAATGCAAAAATCACGTGGTTCCGGCACTTAGTAGGTCGTGGCTCTGCACTCCGGACTCTCTATGGGCACACTGCACAAAGCCGCGGGGGTGCGAGGGGGCACACACACACACAACATGGCTGGTTTTCAGATTTTCCTGACCCGAGGCTTGCCGGTAATTCCTGTGTGTTTGATTCATGTTACCATTTGCCCCAAACTCCTCTTAACCTACTTCTAGCTTACTACTTCTTAGCACCAAACATCTGCAGAGTCCAAGAAATAAATTCTCTGAAAGTAGCAGGAATTAAGTTGTCCTGGGTCTCCCTTCCCACCAGTGATGGGCCAATTGCAATAGAACGCTGACTCAGGCAGAGGTGCCTGCTACACCTCCTGGGGTAAGGGATGGACAGAGACCCTGACTTAAGTCTCTAGGTGGGGCATGACACAGAGGGAGCAGGACAGGGAAGCCTCATGGGCGACCCTGTCCTCTTCACACTAGCAGGAAGGGATGCTGGAGGGAGCAGCGTCCAGCAGTAGGTACCTGAAGAGCCTGGCAGCGGTCTGGTTCCTCCTCCAAGCTGTGCGCTGTGCCTGCACCCCTTGTACGATCTCCTTCTCGTTGGGTAGCCGGTAGACAGGGAAGACATAGAGCCAACAGAGAACCACCACACAGAGGGCACTGGCTCCCACCGGTAGCCGAGTACGCGGGAACTTCCAAGTCAGCATGGCCATGGCCCCTCTGGACGTGTGTCGCCGGGCCCGCCCGCAGGGGCTCATCACAGCCTCGGCGTCCCAGGGTCGGTGGTGGGAGCCTCAGTACAATGCCAGGCTAAGTGGCAGGAGAGGGTGCCCCCGCGGCCGGCCCCCCATGCACACACACCTTTGGCTTCCTTGCACACACCGGCACTCAGGCAAGGCTGGGGAACCCCCCCACGGCCCCAGAGGTCAGCTACAAGGATCTTCGCCAATGCAATTTTTCCCACGGATTTCTTGCTAGAGGAAGTGGCCTCCAGGCAAGTCACGAGCCATGGTCGCTTTCCCTGAAGAGGCAGATGCTGGAGGGGTCTGGGTGAGAGCTGCACAGCCGGCTGCTATCGCCCTTACTGCAACATCACAGGCGCCCGAGGCCGGGGTCCTGGAAGAGGTGCGGCTGGCTCTGGGACATCTGACCTGCTGTGTCCCTTCCAGAAAGAAAGATGCTCCTGCGCCCTGCACCGCCCTTTCCCCGCCTCCTGCGCCGCCGCGGTGCCGGGCACCCCCCCAGACGTGCTCTCCCCGCCGCGCCAAGTCCTTGGAAATTTCCACCGCGGCCCGGGACCGCTAGCCCGCCCCCGGCGCCTCGGCCGTGCTCGCCGGGACCCTCACTCCGCTCCCCTCCCGGGCAAGCTGAGAACTCGCTCTCATCAGTTCATTCAGCGGCGCGCCGCAGCCTTCCGCTGCGCCCTGGACTCCGCAGACACGCGCCCCGGGATTGGTGGAAATCAAGGTCTCCCCCGCCCTCCCCCACCCGCGAAATAGCCTCCCGCGACCCGCATGGTGCTGCAACACTAGCCCAGGGCGCAGGCCCCTCGCCGCTGCCCTTGTTCTCTGCGGAGAGAGGCAGACAATAAGAACAACGGCCCCTCTGGTGCATGCATGCACACGCACATGTATCTGTCTCAGACTGGAGACCTGCATGCAGCCCGCACGCCCGGGCTGCTGTCACCCTTGCCTTTCTGCAACTGATTGGTTATAAACGAGCAGCGAGGAGGCTGGAGAAGATTTATTCCTTCCTGAGCTCCCTTAACCAGATCAGCCCGTCTGCGAGCTATGATTCCATGCACGCACACGCACGCGCGCACATACACACGCGCACACAGACACACGTGTGCGCGCGCTCATAACACAACACACACACACACACACACACACACACACACACACACTGATGCTGCTGGCGGACAGGAGGGGAGGTGCGTGCATACCGGGGTCCTCCACCCCGCCTCCACCCTGCAGAGAGCAGAGCTGCATCCACCTATGCATGTGGTTGACGTCCCAACCAGCAGACCTTGGCGGGAGATAACGGTCTCTTCTGCCTCTGTACATTAAAAATCCGTTTATTCTTAAAAGACTGCAATCGCAAGCTTATCACAACCGCGACCTTGGAAAAGTGCTACCCGCCTGGACCCGCCTAGTGGAAGGACTCACAGTAAGCCATTTCTGCTTGCCCAGGCAGAAGACAAAAAAGCTCGGGTACCTCCTAGCGGCTGCCTACTCTATTTGTTTAAGCATCCTGTACAAGGACAAAGAAGAAAGTGTGCAGCCTCCAAAACCAGCCAGCTTAGTCATCACCAAACCAACATCTCAGACCACAGTTGCATTTGTTCAGCTCCGAACAGCACTCTGGACGGTCCATACTGGCTAGTGCAAGCCCGGCAGTCTTTTTCTAGCACCTTCCAGCACAGAGAAGTGAAACTTGAGATGATGCCGCAATTGTTTACCAAACACGGTGACTGTCAATCTACCAACATCACTACACTGTTCTTAGGAGGACCTGCCCACGGGCAGGCAGCTCCCAGAGTGGAACCTAACACGGAGTAGTTAAAGATTACCCTTGCTGCCGAGAGAGGCTCCTAAATGAGAAGCTTGCTGCTCTTGTGGAGGACATGCATCCAGTTCCCAGCACTCCCCATAGGCCACTCACAGCTTTAAATCCAGTTCCGGGAGATCTGGCATCCTCTGGGGCACCTACATACAGACACATACCTCCACACAGTTACAGACAGGTCATTTAAAAAGAAAATGAATCTTAAAATAAAATGAAGATGCCTCCCACCCCAAACCTACTCTATCCTAGGAAGGAAAACATGTTGGGGAAATCTCCCACCTTTCAGGGGCAGTAGACACATCATCTGTAGCTTTTCCTCCCTGTAATTTAAACAAAGCACAAATGATCCCAACTTCTCTTCCTCCAGCTCTCCATATACCTGGAGAGTAAATAAAATACCAACAGAAAGTCACAGAGGTGTCATGAGGACACACCAGAATGTGTCACGTTTACTGCTGCACTGCAATGGGAACACGTTTACCGCTGCACTGCACTGCAATGGGAACACGTTTACCGCTGCACTGCACTGCAATGGGAACACGTTTACCGCTGCACTGCACTGCAACGGGAACACGTTTACCGCTGCACTGCACTGCAATGGGAACGTGTTTACCACTGCACTGCAATGGGAACGTGTTTACTGCTGCACTGCACTGCAATGGGAGCACTTTACCACTGCACTGCACTGCAATGGGAACGCGTTTACCGCTGCACTGCACTGCAATGGGAACGCGTTTACCGCTGCACTGCACTGCAATGGGAACACGTTTACCGCGGCACTGCAATGGGAACGCGTTGCGTTGCTGTGAGCTCTTACCTTCCTCACTCTTTTCCAACCTGCCGTCCATTTTATCTGATTTTCCTCCCTGGTTCTCAGTGGCATTAGCAATGGCTTCAATGGTATTCCCTTTACTTCTCCAAGTCTTCAGTGTGTCGTGTCTGTCAGCATGTAGCAACCACAGATTTGAGTATGCTTTTGCTCTCTCCATACAAATCTACTGGCTCATTTATAGTCAAGTGGCCAGACCACCTGAAACACCAGCTGTCAAACCATTGAAGGGACCAGCTCCCCATTTCGGCAGCCATGATAGTAACACGTGCTTGCCATAACTTTGCCTTGGTCACTTAGAGGTCAGACACCTACCTTGTGACAAGGAACCAATCAGAAGTTAGCTGGTGGAGCTATGCTTTACGACCCTGGGTGTATTTTACAGACAAGCGCACAGCAATGATGCACAGAGCATAGCAACCACCCTGGGAGGACCTATGGGCCATAACAACCAGCTGGCCAATCAACACAGGGCAAGCCCTCCAAGCCTGGAGGCACACCAATCCTAAGCCTGTGTGTACCACTAGACACTCCCCTTATGCTGCCCTACAAGATCTCTCGGGAGCCCCTAGGAGTTGTCTTTTGCGAGCCATCTACCATGGCGGGTGGGTGAAAGACCCAGGCTAACATGGGGTTAGCTCGTTAAATTACAGTAAAGCCTCATGCAGTTCGCAGCAAGCTCTCAAATCCGCCTGGTGATTGGGGTGACCGCGGTCGTGGCCTGGGACCCTGGATACCTCAGTTTTCCGGGGGTCTAACACCAACAAGACGGTTCAGTGTGTGACAGCACTTGCCGTCAAAGTCCGAAGACTGGAGATCTGGCCCTACAACCCATCATGGGCACAGTTGGTTGACATGTGCCCTCTGACCCCCACATCCATGCCATGCCATGCCATGGCAGGCTCACACTCACATATGCATCATACACATATGTACAATAAAATAATGATGATGACAACAATAAAATGAAATAAAAATAAAGCAGGCTTTGTAGTGTATTGCTCAGTGTTTGTGACTCCTGTTCCCATTTCCTTTGACCTACTCTGAACACTTCTAGAATTTTCTGATTCTGGTAAATTATTAGGCTCTCAGGCAACGTTTTCTGTTGTAAGCATTTTCCATGCAGACCTCTTCCTTGGCCCCTGGGTAGTAAGACTGTTTGGTCTGCATTTGAACTCCCCAAACTGTGTTTACATGCCTGGGGGAGAGCAGGGAAGACAGTTTGCATTCTTCATGTTTGCCCAACTGCCAGTTCAAGCCTAATCCCATGCCAACTCAAGAAATAACTGTTTCTTGGTTCTATAAAATGTCCAGCCTCAAAATTACTTGGGTCATTTCTAGCTCAGCACTATTTAAAGCAAAGTGTAAACTCCTGCATCTTAGTGGTTTAAATTAAGTATCTTACCTTACATCCAGGCACTTTATTTAAATTGCTTTCAGCAAGGGGTTCAGGAGTCTGTTGGGAGTCTACCTCTGAGTGTATAAAGAACACGTGCAGGGCTTGCTCAGGGCATTTTAAACTCTATAAAAGCCCCAGTCTCAGTGTCAGATTAGCCTAGCTCAAATCCCATCTGTTATTTATTAGCTATATGTGTTAATCTATTCATCTAAACCCTGAGCTGCGCTTCTCAACCCTAAAATAATACTTGTTTCATTGTCTGCGTTGGTTACCAGGTGACAAAACACTCAGCTCAGGCAACTTAGAAGAGGAAGCCCTGATGCTAGCTTGTGATCACAGAGGGCTCTGCTGTTCTCAGAAATCTACTTCCTTTAAGTGCATCCCACTTCCTGGCTTTCACTTCCTCTCAATAATGCTATTATATTGTGAATTCATGACAAAATGAAACCACTAATTATGTTAGAGCCCTTATGATCTAATAGTCTGGAAATGTCATCGTAGACACACAAGGAGCGTTTCACTGATGCCCTAGGCGTTCCTTGATGCCATCAACTTGACAATGACGATGAACCATTTTATTATGAGTTTATGTGACTGAATGAAAACTTGAAACAAAGCATGGCCACCATTTTACCAGTGTCCTCCATCCTTTAGTTCTTTGCTTTGTTTGGTTGTACGTGCAGGTTTGCGTGTGTGTGTCCACATATGTGTGTAGAGGCCCAAGGACAACTACCACTGTCACTCCTCAGGCACCATTCATTGTGTTTTAGGGGCGCATCAGCTAACTGTCACAGGCCCACAACTTGACAATAGGCTAGGAAGGCTGGCCAGTGGTCCCAAGGGATCTATCTGTATGTCTCCGACTTCCCAGCACTGGTATTACAAGAGGCAGCCACCACGCCCAGCCTGGCTTGTTTCAAGATAACAGCCCTCACTTTCACTCATGCTGCCAAGATGACAGG